TGGACCCTACCACGACCACCACTAACCTACCATCTCTCTCTCACACACAACATACACAACACACATCGGCACACACACACACAAACACACAAATTGAACGTCGTCGCCGGACGCCACAAGCATCGACAATCACGTCGCCGCCGAGAACAACCTCGCTACCTGCCAAGGTCTGCGTGCAGGCCTCAACAGCCTGCCAAGATTTGCCTCAGCCCGCCAAGGTTGGTCGCGATCTGTCGCGCTTGTGACGTCGGCGTCCATTAGATCACCCTTCGCGCCCGCCGCCATCGGTGAAGTGGCCTCTGAGGCGGAGGCCAAGACGGCCTCGCGGCTCCTGCTTGAGCCGAACATGAAGCTCTGCGACGAGTCTAGATCGCCCGATCACAAGTCGGCACCACTCAGGTTGAAAACAGATGTGTGTCCGGTGGTCAAAGGAGAAGAAATAAGGGGGCTATTTTTTTTTTTTAATTTTGACAAGTCATAAGAACCAAATTGCAATTTTATAAATTTGAATATTTTGCAATTTAACTCAAGGGTCAAATTTGTAATTATATAAAACATAATTAATATTTTATATATTATTTCTTATTTAATATTTTTTTATGTCTTTATATTTTGGCTAAAAGCAAATAATAATTTACATAAAAGTAAAAAAAAATAATAATATTTTTTATATAATTCGGTCTGTTTGAGTTTTTCGGGTAGTTTAAAAAAATAAAATTGATATTGAACTGAAATAACAGATATTTTAAAAAATCGACAAAATATAAATTTGGAACCAAAAATTTTAGTCCGGTTGGTTTAGGTAACTGTTGTGCAACCTGGTAATCATTAATGTACAATGTTTCTAACACTATTGTGCACTTGAAGTACATAAAAATATAAAAGAACGAAAATTTAGTTCGGTTGGTTTTGGTCCTTATTGTGCAATGTGATAGTCATTCATGTGCAATTTATCTAACAATATTGTGCACTTGCAACAGAGACATTTGTAATGACTTTTCACAACTCAAACTAAAACCGAATTGAAATAATCGATTTTTTTATTGATTAACCGAGTTATCCTAAATAATTGAAACGATTTATTATTTATATTATAAAAATATTTAGTATTTTTATATTTATATTTAATGTTTTTTATTATTCTTAGTTGAAAAGATAAAATATAAAATATCGAAATCTATTAGGTGCATTCCAACATAGAATAATGTGCAATTCATCTAACATTATGGTGATGTCTATTGTTCGGGTATTTTTTATGAGCACTTCATTTTTATAAACTTTGATAATGTGTATTTCAATTAAAATTATTTTTCAGTTATTAAATTTTTTATATAATAAAAATATATTTAGTATTTATAATTTTTTAGTATTGTGCAATCTACATAACATAAACGTACTCATCAATAATGTGCATTTTAATTATCGTTGATGCGTAAGTATTAAATTTTTAATAAATTATATATTTGACTCATGAACTAAATTGTAATATAATTCGAATTTATGAAATTTGCAAATAAGTCCTTTTCACTTATCAAATTTTCAAACTAGATCCCTGTAGTAAAAAAAAAAATTTCCACAGACGGGTCGTCCCTTGCCGGTTCTTACTGCCGGCAGTCATCATTTGTCGGTTCTTCCATCTGGCGTCGGCCGACAGNCAATAAAAAAAAAAAAAAAAACAAGTGTTTTAAATCACTACATCCAACACACAATCAATCTCCGAATATTTTTCCAGCACCTCAAACGTATATTATCTGCCAGCAGTTTTGAGCCATTGACGACAAAGGAAGCATTTGCAAAGTTAATCGCCGAGAACATGAAACCTAATAGAGACGGCGGCGTGACGAGTCGCACAAAGGGAACCGGTGATGCGGCGGCGTTGCCGAGATGAGGAGAAATATAAGGCGGAGGCGGCGACCGTTCTCGTGTAGCGGCGACGCTATCGTTTTCCGGCGAAAGCCATCGACGGCAGCGAACGACTTCATGGATGCTTTCGGTGGCCTTGGGCGCATCCGGTCTGTGAACTGTGTGTGAGTGTGTGTGCGTGAGTCAGGTGAGTGTGTGTGTGTGTCTCCAGTGTAGTGTGTGTTGGAGAGAGAGAAAGAGAGAGAGAGAGAGAGAGTATAGGTGTATGCATGCTGAAGTGTATGTGCATGTGTGTGCGTGTCGGGCGTGTGTTGTGTGTGTATGCGTTTGTTGTGTGTGTGGGGGTGGTGATGTGGCGTGTGACCCACTAGTGAGTGGGTTGGTTGAATGGATAATGTTAATGTCCAAATTACCTTTAATGTGTGTAAGATTTTGACTTTTTTTTTTATCTGTTAGATCATCCAATCTGATGACTAATATGAATTCTTATTTATTTCATTGAGCACATTTCTCACCTTAATCAAACTCTCTCTCTCTCTCTCTCTCTATATATATATATATATATATATATATATACCCGTTTAATTCTTTTCTTTTTGTTTTTTCGCCGAAACAATATGAAAGTTACATTAGTAGTACATTACATAATAACTATTAGACCACACATCAGTTTTGCAAATAAGCACACTTTATTTGAAAATGACAAACTTCAAAAAATAATATAAACAAAAGCAGTGCCGGCTCCAGGGGAAGGCAGCGCAGGCTGGCCTCAATTTATTTGGGGCCACATTTTTTTTTTGGTTGGTTAATATCATGCATTTGTGTTGGGTTTGATCCATTTAAATAAATAAAGTGGCCTAATTAATGAATGAGTAATGACTAAATATTGACTTAGCCGATTACACAAATAAAGATGCTAATTAATAAAGGGCTAAGTGCTAATGACTAAATATGAACTTGGTGCATTACACAAATGAATAAGCTAATTAATAAAAAGGCCAATGGTTAAATATGTACTTCGTTTGTGAATTTAAAAACCTAAATATTTCATTTGTTTTCTTATGATGTTTGGTATGAACAATTTGTATTAGAATAATTATTTTCAGTGATATTATTTTTTATTTTTTATCCTTAATGTACTCATGACTGCTTCAATGTAATTTATTAAATATCTCTGTAAACTCCAGAGATAATTTATCATTTCCAAGATCTATTTCAGGACTGATGAAAAACAAGAAAAATCGTTTCTTTTTCAATTATTTATTTTATTTAGCTTGTCTTGTTGAATTAGATGTTTTTTTCTTTCATGCTTACCACACAAATTCAAATTAGGAACTTCGAAAAAAAACAAAATATTGTCTGTGACCTCTAAATATCTAGAGACGGCCCTGAACAAAAGTATTAGATAATGAAGTATAAATTTTTATTAAAATGGTAAGATAGGTCGATTTGTCTAATAATTAGACTATCTCACATAAGAAGTTATGTTTCTTTAGAGCGTTCGAAATTCATCTATAGCTCAATTTGCCTGCATAACGTACACTCTGTTGTGTATTTACGTTTCTGTCACGGATTCTTTGGGATCTCACCAGGGTTACCATGTGAGGAAACTTGATTTGAAATTTGCAATAATTGTCTTCAGACATTGACTGAGATTTAATGATATATTGATATGATCACGAAGACGATACTATTATGGATGCATCTGCCAAATTGTGATCTGATATATATTAACATTGCCCAGTTGCCTCATTAATTAATGCCAATTTCCATTAGAACTGTCTAGCGTGGGTGATGGCAAGAACCAAGATGCCTCATTTGATCAGATTTGTTCTATATGCTAGAATCTAATCACATTCGGTCCCTATATAGTTTGTGAATAGTGAAAGTCATTTTTTATTTTCTATTTTTTTTTTTTTTTTTTTTTTTTTTTTTTTTTTTTTTTTTTTTNCACGAAACGATAGAACTTTTTTTGCAGGTTGGAGTAAATTTAGCAACCACATCTCGTTATATTATTGCTAAATAGAAAGAAGCCTTCGATTTGTTTTCTACAATTTTGCTATGGAGCTATCAGATGACTCGACTTATGGAAACAATTTTAATAATTATTCCTCAACAAAAATCTAAGTAATCATTTTTTGCGGATGGGACGCATTATATATACAATACAAGTATATAAATAGATGCTTTTGAAAACCAAAATTGGGGCATAAACAGTTTGAAATTTTATAAAGAACTGTATTGACTTCGTTCGATATTCTTTTTAAACATTCAAAAAAGATTTTCAATAAAACGAAGAAAAATAAGAACTAAAAATTTTTGAAAATAGAAAGCAATACTTACAAGTGTACAAGCGTGTTTGAAAGAACTGATCGGTAAGGAGATGGAATATTGAGGTTTCTAAAAACTAATTTTGGGAATTAGATTTTTCATCTTTTGTCGTGTTCTTTCATCTGAATTTTAGCCCAATATATGAAGTTAATATGTAACTTATTACTAATGTAGTTTTTTCATACTATTTTTAAACGAAAATGAGACTTACCCAAAAAAATACATATATTTTTTATATTTCATAGTCAAAATATTGATTTTATTTATTAATTTAAATGTTGTATTTGAAATTTCAAGTAGTATATTCTTATATTTATTTTTGCAAACAGTTTTACAACATAGAAAATTAGATTTGAGTATCAAAATAAATATAATTTGGCGAGCAATAACATTTCACCATTATCAAACTCTCCATTAGATAATGTAACAAATGATAGTTTAAATTCAGTATGTAAATTAATGTTGCAGGATATCAACCTTCAGATCGTTTAATCAAGTCATTAAACATTTTTTTTTAAGTCAAAATTCCTACAGCCCATGCATTTTTGCAAAAAGATCGTTTAATCAAGTCATTAAACATTTTTTTTTAAGTCAAAATTCCTACAGCCCATGCATTTTTGCAAAAGCTCGATGTGCTAAGAAACCACTATTCAATCATGACTGCTAGCTTTTGTATTATTGAATTTATACTCTCTTGGAAAATGTCATAGTATAAATCAAACTTGCATCGGGCTATTCATGTTCACCAGTAGAGTAGTAATTCATATAATACATATTAAACACCTATATTCCAGTATTTCAGNNNNCAACTCATTTTATTTTACTTCAAATACAGGTCATACCCCGACCAAGTTGTAAACTAATCCTTCAAATTTTCTTCTTGACTGAACCTTATGTGACTTAGCATGAACAGGTTAGTTTGGTTCATGGCAGTTGGTCAACTGTGCACTCATCAAAACATCAATTTGTCTCATGTTTGCTCAAATCCCAATACCAAATTCTGGCAATTGAAACTCAAAGCCATGTTAACAGTAAAACCATCATATATCTATCAAGGCAGCCTATCCGGTAAGGTATTAAAGATCTTGTGAAGCTGCACATAATAAAAATAGATCCACATCACACACAGTTAATGAAAATTGCAAAAGTAAAACTCCCGACACTTTTCTTTGTCACTGGAATCTGAACGACACTTTTCTTTGTCACTGCTTCTTGAAAACAATGACAATTGCAGTGCAGTTATCTTTGCACAAGCGTTCTCTGACAGCTTCTCGCACAAGGCGGCGGCAAACTTCTCTAACTGGTAAACCCTCCTGTAAGACGCATTATAATTAGCATCACTTGCTAGGTAGTTTCAACTCATTCTTATAAAATCCTCTAATTCTTTTCTTCTTTCATTCTTTTTATTTTATTTTTGTTTATATGAACTCTCTCAATCATTTTCTTTCTTTCTTTATTTTAGTTTATTTTTTTTAGTTTTTGGAAACGCCATCTCGATTTCCAAATAAAAAAGTTTGGCAGTTATAAAGGATTTGGACTTGAACTTGGATTTCATAATACCTAACTCTCTAGCCCTCCTAATCCTTGGTAGCCCTGCTTGGGTTTATGATTTGGCAATTGAAGGAGAGAGCTCTTGGCTTTGTTGATGTGATTAGGACAACTTCAATAATCTGATGGTTAAGTTCCCTCAAAATCAAAGGGGAATGATAAACAGATTATGACCTATTGACGAGGGACTTATTCCAATGGGGTTAACCTATGTTGATGGTTTTCAGTTTCATGTACTGCAGTATTTAGTTTCCTGACCCTACTGTTTCTATTTTTATTTTTATTTTTTTTCTTTATCAAGCATCTCATGTGCCTTTTGGGGACTTTGGTCAGAGAATAAAACCTTGGTAAATGCTGTTTCCGAGTTTCAGTATGTACATATCAATGTTTGGATTAATAAACAAAAAAGAGAAAGAACAAGAAGCTCCATTTGCCACACGCCTTATATCTACATCCTGATTGACATGAATCACATAACAATGATAAACAATGGAACCACCTAGATTCCATTGTTATAACTATCAAGTACCCCTTAGCTTCTCTGTTTTTTATTTCAAACTACTTCCTCTCCTACAATTTTCCAAGTGTTTTCACTATTCCCTCTCCT